ATGTGAGGTCAAAGAGGCTTAGAACGTCATTAGTTACCAGTGATTCAGATAATGAAACAGTTGGTATAGAGGCAACCTCGAATCAAAGCCTTTGCTTTTCGGTATAAGTTTTCGATATGCTTCAAAAAACGGTCGACTAAATCCGCCAAACAGCGTCAGTATTCCGAACTCAAACTCAGAGTGACCGTAAAACGATGCCGGATCGAAGATGACTGAAAAAGAATATTACAGAATTATGCCATATTAATGATTCCATGAACCTGGTCCGTCTTTCGTCTCTGCGACGTTTCCACCCCACAGATCACCGTGTAACAATGCCGGCTTAATGTCCTGACAGTCAGTAAAAAACGAAGAAATTTTTTTCTCCAACTGAGGCCACAGATATTCCAGTTCTTTGTCACCAGTTTTCGCCAGCACCATTTCCACTTGCGGCTTTAGTCTCTGACGCGTATAAAAATCCTGTTCATACAAAACCTCATAACTGCTGCCGAAATGTCAGTATTAGTACATACCTCCCAAGAAGATGACCATGAGTTGTTCATCGGAATATAACCGCAGCAAGTGGTGGTATGAAAGCCAAACTGTCTGACTGGTTCCACCGTAAATTCACCATGTGATTCCTTTACCCAAGAAGCTCGTTCTTCTAATGGCTTCAGCAGCTCTTCATTGTGCAGATGCAATCTTAAACAAAGCGAGAAATTAAATTAGAGAAACAAAATATCGGCAGAATAAAAACACCAGTCATCAAACATTCCCCTGATTTCAGATATAATATATACATCTGAGGGTTTTTAACCGTTTGTAACCTGTAGATGCGCTCAGAGACACTTTGATGGTACTTAGATAAAAGAAGGAAAATATAGAAATCAAAGGAGCGAAATTTTATGGTGCCAGGTTTCTTTAGGCATTGACTGTTTGTTCTTCTTATCAAGTGGAAATTTTCTTTGTTCCTTATGCCATCTCTAAAATGATTATTCAAATGAAGACATCTAACATAGCATCAGCACACTACGAGGTTTCAAAGTGTCAGCGCAGATGGTATTTGATCCGTCTTGCACATCGCGGTGCGGCCTAAATCTTTCCTATTTACTGTTGATTCAATCGAGCAAGGAATTTATCACCATTATGCCGTGGTGCAGTCAGTTTAAAAATGGACAGTAAATCAATAACCTGCGAGAAATACGAACGTGAAATCCAGCTATGCAGGACTCATGAGGTGAATCGTCTTTCGAAACATCATACGTGATGAGCATGAAGTTCTGAAGTAGTGAACAAAATTATGCTAGAAGTATTTAGCCGCGCAGATATTCAAAAATAACTGAGCCTTGGCCTATTCCAACGCTTCATGTTTAAAAATCAGGTTTAAGAAGTGTTAAGTGCATATTAT